AATATTTGAAGCTGTCTGCTTCTCTCTTGACATTATGTGTAGTTTTTTCTGGTATGTATTAGGCACAATTCCTGTTGTATCTCTACAGGTTATTGACAGTTCCATATCTTTATGACACCGATAAATTGGAGACCTTAAATGTTGCCTCCAATTGAGTTTCCCATTGTAGTCTACCCTGTTCATTATCTGTGGACTCTGTTCTCTTTATCTTATGTCAAGTTTCTTATCTGATCATCCTTTGTGGAGCAGAGAGCTGATGTCTCTGCCTCTGCCTAGCTGTGCTGGACCTGCTTCTCTTTCTCTGTCCTGCCCTTTAACTGGGGTGGGGGTGGGTAATTCTTCATGGGTAGACAAACTCCCATGACTGCTGCATGGGATATGCCATTCAGGAGAAAGGTCCAGGAATCTTGCAGGATTCCAACAGTTCAGCCTCCTTCTTACCCAGAGACTTACCTTGGATGGGAAGCTCACTGCTCCAGGGAATAGGAGGGCAACTGGTCCTGCCTGTTGTCCTCTCTGGTCCTGTGTTTGGTGGGAAGATTCACCTTGGTTGAGAAGAGCTCACTGACTGAAGTCCACTCTGGTCCCAGGCAGGCAGAAGACATGAGATCATATTCTTAACTTTAATTCCTGCTACATTTTGTTTTGGTTGAGGGTCTGTGTGGATTATTTGGTTGTTTTTTTGTTGAAGCCTCTTGTTTAGAGTCAACAAGGCCTTGTGGAGGGCCCTTGTATTTAACAGTTGGGCCTGAAGGATTATGTTTTAATCCCTTGTTAATATATTTTGGAGGAACATTCTTCTAAGTCAGACAGCACTCTTCAGTCAATTTGCTGTGCAGAGGTAATCAGGATTTGCTGTGACACAGAACCTTGTGCCATTGAGGGTCTCAAATGCCATAATGGTCCCCAGTTTAAAACAGGTTTGGAAGCAGGAGTGGCATCCACTTCCTAAACCACATGCCTCTGGAAACTCTATGAACTTGGAGAAACGATAGTTACAGAAAGGCTTCAAGTCTTTTTGTTCATAGGATTTCTATGAGTCATGCTCGACTTGATGGCAATCAACAATATGTTTATTAATAATGGAAGGAGAAAATAGCAATATTTTTATTTTCACTCATTTATATAAATCAAAGCCTGGCAAAACCTACAATTGTAAATTTTGTTCCAACTCTTAGTGACCTTATAGGATAGATTAGAACTGCCCCAAACAGTTTCTGAAACTGTACATCTTTATAGAGACAGACTGCTACATCTTTCTTTGGAAGAGAGGCTATAAAAAAAAACCTCTCTGTTTATTTAAAAGAAAAAAGCAACAAACCCAACTTGTTTAATGTTACAGTATAGTTTGCTTTCTTACAAAGCTTAAAGGGTTTTTCTCAGTCATGCTTCAATATGGTATATACCATAATTGGCTCTGTTCAGAGTTGTCTGACTCTTTTTATCTATCAGAAAGATACAAATCTTTCATACACTCTATTTTCTCAAGTTCCACTATCTTCAACTTCTCTGTTACCTGTGGTAACTAGAATATATGAATATTCTTATTTTGAATAATTTTATTGACCTGTCCATAAGTGAGCAGCAGTTATCATTCTGCTTTCTTTATAGTTTGGTTGAAAATAAAGCAAATTAAGTGTTAGAAACCATGCTTTTTGATACATTTTTGTGTTTCTACTAGATCACTGTCATCTGCTTTCCTTTGAGCTTGAAATAGGCATCAGATGGCAAATGTGTGTTTTATGATTTCTGCCAAGGGCCTAAGTGCTCATTCTTTATTTTTCTAGGTTAAGATCTCTCTTGGCAGCAATGAGTATTATAGAAAATAGTAACAAATACAGTTTCTCTATATGAGCAAAATAGATTTACATCTTTGGAAAAGCTTATTATACCATGTATTTAAAAAAGAGTAATTTTTTTT